CATCAGATTGGCCCACAGGTAAGCCCACAGGGCATTTGCTTGGTTAATGATTGCTGTGGGACAGTCCGTGCCCCCCCCCCCCCCCCCGTCAGGTGTAAGCTGTGTAAGAAGTTAAGCTGGAGATGTCCTGGTAGTCTCTGCTTCAGTTCTTGCCCCTCTTCCTTTCCTGACTTGGCTTTTCTCAGTGATAGATGGTGAAGGGGATGTACAAACCAAATAAACCTTTTTCTTTCCCAACTTGCTTTGGTCATGATGTTTTATCACAGCAATAGAAAGCAAACTAGGAAAAGTGGGAAGGAACTGTGAAGAGGGTTGGGTATTGTCTCTCAAGTCTTTTTAAGGGAGGTCAGATGTCTTCTTTAAGGAAGGATGGCTGAACATAACGTATATATGTAGCTAAAGAAATCAGAGTGTCTGGGGCCAGTGAGATAGCTCAGTGGATAAGGGAGCTTGCTGCTAAGCCTGAAGACCTGAGTTTGATCTCTGAGTCCCATATGATGGAAAGAGATAATTCACTCCTGTTAATTATTCTCTGACCTCCACACACTGTAGTGTGTCCTCTCCCTCAACACAGTAAGTTAATGAACATTAAGAAAAATGACTGTCTCATTTGTGACAAAAAACAGCTTCAGATGGCAAGTAAGTGCTTTTTCTGAAGAGAACATGGTGAAGGACAGTAGGGAGAAGAATGCTGTTTAAAGTAAACTGCCCAAGGTGTATTTTTTTTATAAAACATTCCATAGTTGATGTGTAGGGGCTTTAATCAAAGAGACAGCGGAACAGGAGCGCTAGGTAGCTTCTAGGTGGCATAGCTGGGAATTTGACACTCAGGCCGGCACAGGTCTGGGCATCAAGTCAGACTGGATCGAACATCTTGAGTGGGCAAATCACAAAAGGCACACAGCAGAAGGTCTAAACCAGCCTGTTCTGCCCCAGGAGGCCCAGAGGGCATGAGCCTGGAGCTCTGTCATCCAGGCTCAATCCTGGCTCACAGCCTGGCTCAGTCTGAGGCTTAAACTCCCCATGTCTCAGTTTCCTACTGAGGACAACACACAGGGAGCAAAGCCATCTCTGACAGAAGTCACAGGTTTGTCATCAATTGAGTTAATACTCAAAGAGGGTTTTGAACAAAGCTGCTACCCTTTGTGAGCTAATGAGTTAATTTGATGCTTTTTATTTTCTGGGGTGGGGCATGATCAGAGGTGGGCTAGGGAAGTAGTCCAGTGGTATAGCACTTGCCTATCCTGTACAGGGCCTTGGATTTGGTCCCCAGCACCAGCAAGAAAAATAAATAAGCACATGACAGTGTGTGTGTGTGTGTGTGTGTGTGTGTGTGTGTGTGTGTGTATGCATGTACAGGGTTTTGTTATGATGTAGGCCAGGCTGGTCCCAAGTTCATGAGCCTCTTATGTTAGCTAAATGCTGGTTTTACAACTTGGTAGCCATTGCTCTTCACTGGAAGGTCTGTGCAGGCCTTTCTTGATGATTGATCTGGAAAGGCAGACTCTTAGATGAATTTTTAGGTAACAGTAGAAGGATACAGAAGAAAAGAGAGTAAATAAGAGCATGGTAAGGGCATGGGAAAGAAGAAGATCTAAGGGCTCAGATGGGGCTAGAGAAAAAACCATGTTGATGTTCAGAACTAATCTGTGTGAGAGAATGCCCTTTTGAAATTAAATTAAGTGGAGAAAACATAATTAAGAATGTTTGAGGGGTTGTGAGTTTAATGGCCATTTGGGTCATACAGTGAAATGGGCTATGAGCCACCTAGGTTCCTGACACAGTACTCAGTAGATGAGGGAGTGTCACGGTTGGCTGTGTCTGTTGCGTGCTCTGGTGTGAGTGACTTTTTTTTTTTTTTTTTTGTTTTTTGAAACAGGGTCTAGTTTGAGACTGGCCTTGAATTCAGGTGTAATTGAGAATGATTTTGAATTTCTCCTTTTTCCACTTCTGGATCCCTGGGATTATTATAGGTCCACACCTTTACACCGGTTCCTGAGCTGCTGGGGTTTGAAGCCAGAACCTAGGCCATGCTAGGCAAGCACTCTGCCTAGCAGAGTTATATCTCCAACCATTTTTATTTTTCTTAAATAGTTAGCTGTCCTGGAACTCACTTTGTAGCCCAGGATGGTTTCTGACACACATTGCAATTTTTTCCCCTTCCTCAGTCTTGCAAGTACTGGGGCTAAGAGTGTAAGTGAGGAGACCTTAAGAAAATTTAATTTCTGTTAAAGTGTTACAGCTCAAAGTATGTTGCCAAGAAGTATGGCCAGCATGCACAGAAGTAACGTGATGTCTATACAAATTCCTAACTGTACAAATTCCTAAGTAGCCTATGCGACATTAAATCTAGTCATATACTGAGTGTTTTGAGATAGGACCTTGCTATGTTGCTCAGGCTGGACCTGAACTTCTAGGCTAAAATGGATTCTCATCTTTCAGCCTCCCAAGAACCTGGGAGTACAGGTTTGTGCTATCACCTCTGTTCAACATTTTTCTTTTCTTATTTATCTAACTATCATCTATCTAATCTATTTATCTAATCTAGCTATCATCTATCTAATATATTTAATCAATTCTACCTATTGTTATAATAAATTAAAATCCCAACTGTTTTACCAATAAAGACTCAGGAGCCAGATGCTCGGGTGAAAACCAAATGGCTCAGAGAAGCAGAGAAAGTACCCAGCTGACCTTCCTACTCAGCTCATGTCCCAGAAGGAAAAAGCCAAAAAGCTAAAAGTCAAAGAGCCAAAAGCTAGCTCACCTGACAGCCCAGGAGGAAAAAGCCAAAAGCTCCAAAACCCAAAGAGCTCCTTTTCCACACTGTCTTAAATACTCTTCTTTCAGAGTCCCTCCTTTCTACTTAATTCCTGTCAGCTGGTTTCTTGCTTTTGACCTAGAGTTAATTTTATTAAATCCTGTGTACAGAAAGCTCTTGGATTAAAGGTGTGTGCTAGGGCTGAGCCACATCAAACAAGAAACCAAATTTTACAGTGCACAATCTCAAACACAATGGGATAAAATATCTTTCAAAAATGTATCTATCTATCTATCTATCTATCTATCTATCTATCTATTACATATCTCCTAGCTGTCTTTCTTTCCTATTAAAATTTTAAAAGATTAAAAATATTTTTTTTTTCTGTCTGTGTGTTTGTCACCATGTGAGTGGCTACAGAGGTCAGATGAGAGCATTGGATCTCTTGGAACTGGAGTTACAGATGGTTATTAGCTGCCAGTGTAGGTGCTGGGAACTGAACCAAGGTCCTCTGCAAAAGCAGGAAGTTCTCCTGACTGCTGAGCCATCATCCTGCTTCAGCCTCAATATGCAATTTTTGTTTTTATTTATTTTTATTTTCTTCAAGACAGGGTTTCTCTGTGTGGCCTTGGCTGTCCTGAACTTACTTTTTTATTTTTATTAATTTTAAACTTATGTGTACACATGATCATGTGGGGGTAGGTGCTTGCACGTGCAAGCGCCCGTTGAGGATGCAGACACCAGACACCCCCAGAGCTTGACTTACTGTAGCTGTGAGGCATCCGATGTGGGTGCTGGGAACTGAACTCAGGTCCCTTGGAGTAGTAGTACATGACATCTTAATCAATGAACCATCTCTCCAGCCCCAGTATATAGGTTTTTTGTTTGTTTGTTTTTTATTTTTTTAAAGATACGGCTAGAGGGGCCAACCAGCAGCTTGGCTGTTTAAAGGTACTTTGCTGACAAACCTGGTGACTGGAGTAGGAGAGAACTGGAGTAGGAAAAAACTATCCTTTTTCCTCCCATCTCCTCATGTGTGCTGTGACACTCAATGTATACATATGTATATACATATACACATATGTACATACATATACACACATACATATGTACACGTGCATATATGTACATACATACATATATGTATATACACACTCAAATGAAATAAATATTAAAAAACTAACAAAGCATGTTTCAGGACAGCCAAGGCTATGTTAGAGAGACCCTATCTCACCCCCACTCCTCCCAACCAAAAAAAAAAGTGGAACTAAAACTACTTTTTGTTTCAAGTAACAGTATGATTCTAACCCAGGAGCAAAGTCTCAAGAGGATCTGAGAATTGTTTTTCTAATTCCAACAAGCAAGTCCCTTCTTAATTTCTTTTCCCCCTCACGGAAACTAATCACATCTCTCTTTTCCTTTCCCCTAGTCCCTTGTCAAAAGTAACATTTCCACATCCCGCCACTGAGAGAGAACTTTTCTTTCCTCAGCTTTTTGTGGACATTTCAGATGTTCACTTGTGTTCTGCTTAAAGTTTCCATGCAGAAGTGGGAAGACTAAATGGAGAAAAGTGGAGTTTCTGAGAGGATCTGAAGCTTGTTTTGTGTAAGTCTCTGGGGAAAAGTTGGGCAGCCAGACATGGTTGGTAAAGTTTAAACTACCACTTCAACAAACCCTGCCCTAAAATGTGAAACTTGGCCAATCAGGATCATGAGGCTGCTTCGTAAGGCCTCGCACAACTGGTTATGTTAACAGATTACCTCAAATAAATGGCATATCAAATAAAAAATTAGATGAGGGAATGTGCTCGTCATAAAATCATTGCCCCTGCCTGTGACCTGTAGGTAGGTCTGGTTGCTTAGGGGAAAAAAATCCATATGGCTGCTTGATGAAGAGGGAGGGACATGTTGTCTTTGCTTATATTGTCAATCATGTCATCTTCCCTCTAACACTCCCTCTTCCTTTGAAGGCGGAAAAACAAAATATCAAGTCAGAAACAGCGAAGCCCAAGCTTTTAATGACTCGTCTATACTACATAAGAACCAGCTTGGAGCAGTCCGCAGTGCGGAGCAGAAAGCTACGTCTCTCCCGCAAACCCGCAAAGTTTCATCATCTGCCAATCACAGGCCGGGACTTTTCAGCCGACCCGCCCACAGGGTCTGATTGGCACTAAGGTAGTCCTATTGGCGTGAAGAAGGTGAAAGAGGTGTAGGAAGGTGGGTTCAGAACTAACCAATAGTGCGCAGAAGGCGGCTGTTGGGGCGGGAGGAAGGCACCAACGAGAGAGCGTGGGGCCGCTCTGGGAAGCGAGGGCAGGAAGCTGGCCCAGCCAATGGCCGCCGCGGGCGGGTGTCGGTGCGCGTGCGCATTGGGGGTCCCGGAGCTGCAGGCGGGAGGTTGGGGGAGGGGGCGAGCTGGATTGCCGCGGAGCTCCTGCCGCCGCCGCAGCCTCCGCCGCAGCGAAGAGGCCATGTTGTGTGGTGTGTGGGGCGGGGGGAGGAGGAGGAGGGAGTAAAGCCGAGCGAGGAGACGGGAGAGACACCACACACGGCACAAGATGGCCGGAGAGGCAGCAGCAACCCGAGCTGTCAGGCGGCCTGTCGCGGCCCGCGGGCCCGTTGCTGCGCTGGGAGCAGTCCCGGGACGTCCCGGAGGGCTCCGGGAGAGCGCGGAGGCCGCGGCCGAGGCGAGGCGGCGGTGCGCGGGTGCGGGAGCCCGCGGCCCAGGCGCCCGCGGAGGCCGGGCCCGCGACGCCCGGGGCTGCGCTGCGGCAGCGCCGGTGCTGGTGGCGCGCGCGGTCGGGAGGCGGCCCGCGCCGTGGGCGGGAGGCTGCGGCGGGCGCCCCGTCCGCGAGGCGCGGGGAAGAGCGAGCCGATGGCCCCGGCGGCCGCTCTTCGACCCGGTGAGTAGCTCCCCTGCTCCCTTTATTGTCCTTTGTCCTTGGGAGGAAAAGCACGGCGTCCTTGAGCGCGGGCGGGAGGGGCGGCGGGTTGGCTGGCGGCTCTCCACAGGCAGCCCCGGGTGCTGCCGCGGAGGGCCGAGGCCCCCGGAGCCCCGGGCGCCCTCCAGGTGCCCGCTGCACACCCAGCCGGGCGCCGCGCTGCTCTCCGAGCCGGCGGGGAGAGGGCGGCGGCCGCGCCGCGGAGCCCCTGCTTGCTCGGGTGAGTTATTTTGATAGTTAGCGTTAAACAACAACAATCCTCCGGGGATGGGCTTTAAAAAATGTCTTCCGGTGAGGTGGAACCCATCTTTGGGGTCGGATTTAGAAGAACAATGGAAGCTCTCACTTCCATTAAACCAAAATAAAACTTGTCTTTTTTCCCCCCCTCTCCCCGTTGGGTGTTGGCTTTTAACTCTTTCCAAGCTGCTTTTGAGACAGGCGGTAGATGCAGAGGTATATTTGCTGCTTGTTAAACCTCCATGACGTTTGTTGTCCTTTAGAAAAGACAAGTTACAGGGGTGCTTCTGGTATTTCAAAAATGACGACGGCAACAAGGCAGTGTAATGGAAGTAGATTTGATAATTACGGTGCTAGATGATGACGTTTGATGAATACAGCTTATTTTTACCGAGTATTTTAACCAAGACCATTTGACATCCTGATATTTGAACATAACTATACAGTTGGATACTTTTAAAAACGAGTGTGAAGAGCCGTTATCAGTAACTTCTCACACTTGAATGACAAAATGTACTTGAGTCAGTTTCTACCCTTTAAAGTTAAAATTCATCTTGTTGTTTAAAAAGAGAGAATGTATACTATTACAATCCCTGATGGAAAAAGTTTTAAAGGAATATTCTAATTGCACAGCTCTTCGAGAAGTTACTTTTCTTAGTGTAAATAGTGAAGTAGGACTGTCCGTGATGGGCGATGAAGAGGGGCCATATTTGTTGCATTTGTTGCATGTGTAAAAGTCGAGATGTGCTTAAAAATGGAACAGTATTGAAAAAGCAATTGGAAGAAAAAAAAATCGCAGTTTTTTGCATACTCATTTAAAAATACTTGAGGTAATTTAGGTCTAGCCGCTGGAAGAAAAAACTAGAAATGCACAGAGCTTTGTGTGTTCTTTAATACATTTGTCTTCGTTCTGCGGAGTCCTTGTGCTGTAAAGGTGAAGAACTGCGTAAAGACAGTGTTGGGGAGATTTACGTAGTACATGAAAAATCAAAGGTACGGGCTGACTGGACCATATTTCAGTGGATATCTCCGGTAGAAAACAATTGGAATACCTTTTTGTAAGGTAGTGAATGTTATATCAGTTGCACATACTTTGATTTTACAGAATTCAGCTATTAATTTCGTTTTTTCAGATGAATGCTCTGAAATGTTTTATCACTGAAGGTGGTTTTAAAGAGATTGGGAATGCAGTTCAGAGTGCGTTTTGAAATGTAAAAATAACTGCTAGCAGTTTAAGATGTTACGGTTATCTTCCAGGATAAGCTGGGTAGGAGAAAGACAAAATATTCTGGACTCTGGTTTGGAATTGAATGAAGGTCATGGATATCACAAGTTTTAGAGCCGCTTAAAAGACAATGCTAATATCTCATTTAGTGAGATCAGATAGCTTGCAGTTTACAATTTAAAGTAACCAGTGGCCATTTTAAGTTCACTAATTTCTCCTGGAGGAGTTGATCTTCATTGCTCATAACTGTAAGAGGAATGTGTAGATAGTAAAGAAATTTTAGGAGGATGGCATTCTTTGAACATCGGCAACTTCTTTGTTTTTGTTTACCTGATTATCTAATGGAAAAAGAGTAAAGTGGTAGTCATTTTAGTTTTTTTGTGTTTCTTCTTTTGGATTCCAGTGTTTTAATCCCTAATATTTGTCAGTACATTCCAATTGAGGAAAACAAAGACTGCTAGACATTAAAGATAAATAACTGCAGCCTTAATGTGCAGGTTGTGTCACCCCACATTTGTACCTGGAATCTTGTCTTTGGAATATCTTTTTCATTTCAGCACACTGAGTCTTTGGTCAAGAAATCTTTAAAAATATCAGAACACTTAAATTATTTTCCTTTTTTTAAGGTAACTTCCAAGATTATAATTAGTGTGGTTGCTGATGATTCTGAATAAAAACAGCTTTTATGCCAGGTAAGATTGGTAAATTTACTGGTTTGACATAAAATTAACTTACTGGGCTTTTGGTTTTCCTTTTGGTGGCTTATGTTTCTGGTATTCAATTAATTTTTACGACTTTAAAAAACAATTATGAATAAATATACATTCAAAATTTTAAAAAATCTTTTAAGAGCCCCTTTCACTGAGTAAGTGATTAAAAGACTATTTCTATAGTCATTGTAATGTAATGTACAAATACATGTAATGAATAGTACAAATACTGCAAGTCTTTTAGGGCTTTGTTTAATTTGGTAAGAAGCTTTTGGAACCAGGAATGGACCAAAATGTTTTTTGTTCCCCTTAAATTGCAAATTATTTTAACATTTTAAATATTTAAAGAAATTTATTAGGAAATTTGAATAGTTTACCATTTAGACTACTAGATTTTAGGGAGCAATATTTCAAAAGTTAGTTTAGAGTATCAATAGTTTCTGTTTTGTATAAAGTTTTAAAACATTTCTACTTGTTACTGTTTTTTTTTTTTCATCAGTAAGTTGAGAATATTGTTTGTTTTCTCAAGGTGTGCCATTTTGAAGACTGAGACAATAGAGTTTTCTCTATAAGAATAAAGGCGAGCCCTTGGAACAGTCTGTATTTTATATAGTAAGTAAGTTTATTAATTGTTTTATTTTGATATTTACAAACATTTGGGTAGGAATGTGTCACTAAAGTTTGTCAGTGAGACAAATAGTTGGACTGTTTATATAAAAAAAAGATGAAATATCCTAATGCTTTTACTGTAAACTCAAGTACTTTTGTGTTAACTATGAAAACAGTTGACTATGAAAACAGTTGATACGCATAATTTATATCAATGCATACAATTATATCCAGTAGTAAGACATTTGGTCTTCCCAATAAAATGGTGCTTGCCTTTTCATGATAGTTAAATATGCAGTATTAAATTAGTGTTGTCTTTATAGTCTGGAATTGTTTAGCTTCCTCCTCTACCCCGTCACAAAACAGTGTCCTAAAATTTTATAATTATCGATCCCTTGTTTCTTGAAAGAACTCTATTTTAAAAGCTAAAAATAAACTTTGATGTCATTGTTACTAAATAGTCAAAATACTCAGTTTTAGCAGTTCCTTAAACAAGTACAAACTTAAATTGATTTTCCAGCAAACTGAAGTGCAGTGTTCTTAGAAACTTCTATCTTTATCATAGTTATTGTTTTTGTATCTAAAAAAAGAAATAATTTCAAGCACAATAGGTTTTGGGTTCATTATACCATGAAATGCATTATTATCTTAATAGTTGAATATTAAGGTGAATGAAGAAAATTTGGCTATTTGTATATGTTAAGAAATGAATATGTTTATATAAGCTTGAATCCAGAAATAGTGTTCAGTTATTTTTAAAGTATTGGCCAGAGAAAATATGAAATAAGTGATGCTTTGGGGAATTAAAAAAACAAAACAAAACAAAAAAAACACCAAGTGACTAATTAAAATGAGGGCACATTTACTTATGCCTTGGAAATCTATAGAAAATTAAGTTTGTGTTGCCTTGTTTTTATTCAGATAGGAAATAAAGAGAATAGACTAATTTTATTGCCTTTAACAGTTGAAGTTTGCATTTATTATTGTATACAAAAGAAAATAAGACTTTTTAAATCTATAATCTTTCAAAGATAGATTGATTATACACAGAAGTATCTTTAATCCTATATTCCTATAACATAAATGCCAAGGTTAGGATTTTTCTCTTTGGGGCTGGAGAGATGGCTCAGTGGTTAAAAGCACTTGGTGCTCTTCCAGAGGACCTGAGTTCAATTCCCAGCACCCACATGGCAGCTTACACAGACATGCATGCAGTCAAAACACCGATGTACATGAAATAAAACTAAATAAATTATAAATCTAGCGTCACTGCTTTCTAAAACAAAACAAAAACCCAACGATTTCTCCTTGTAGTTGATAGAATGTATAGTTGGCATTTGTAACACTTACAAAAACTGAAAAGGAGGTTTTTTTGTATGACACTATCAGAAGTTAAGTATAAATAGTCAATATGTTTATAATCCTATCTGAGGTATAATTTGAATAGAAAAACTGCTGAAGATTAGCAATTTTAAATGAAATTTTAATATTTCTAAACTTTAATAAGTGATATAGTAACTGCTAAATTAATTCCTAATCTTTTAGAGGCAGGTTGTTTTTTGTTCTTTTTTTACTTTTAAAAAAATCGTTCATATTTTTATAAATTACAGTTTATTCACTTTGTATCCCAGCTGTAGCCTCCTCTCTCATTCCCTCCCAATCCTACCCACCCTCCCTCTATCCCTCCCTCCCTCATCTCCCATGCCCCTCCCCAAGTCCATTGATAGGGGAGGTCCTCCTCCTCTTTCATCTGACCCTAGTCTATCAAGTCTCATCAGGACTGGCAGCATTGTCTTCCTCTGTGGCCTGGCAAGGCTGTTCCCCCATTAGGATGAGGTGATCGAAGAGCCAGCCACTGAATCCATGTCAGAGATGGTCCTTGTTCCCCTTACTAGGGAACCTACTTGGATGCTGAGCTGCCAGGGGCTACATTGGGCAACATCTGTGCAGGGGTTCTAGGGATTCTAGGTTATCTTCATGTATGGTCCTTGGTTGTCATATCAGTCTCAGACCCCTGTGCCCAGAAGTTTTTGATCTGTTACTCTCCTTGTGGAGCTCCTGTCCCCTCTAGGTCTTCCTATCTCCCCCCTTCTTTCATAAGATTCCCAGCACTCTGCCCAAAGTTTGGGCTATGAGTCTCAGCATCTCCTTTGATACCTAGAGACAGTTTTTATAATCAAGATAAATGGTTAGAATAACTTACTTTATGAAAAAGATTGTGTGTTAATATCTTTATGATAGTGTTTATATTTAGTGTGTGAGTAGTTACCACATGAGCTAATTTAATGGAAAAGTTTACTGTCACATGAGGGCACTTATTATCAGATACTATCTTATATAGATGGATTGTGTGACCTACAAAGGTCCATGCAGTAGGTAATGTGCTTTATTATATAATCAAGGTAAGTTCTTTGTCAAATATGTTTTACTTAAAGACTTAAATATTTGGCTTTATCTGAGCATTTTGGATAAACTTTAAATCTTAAAAATCTTATCTAGTTGTGTTTATGTTGGAATGTATTTAATGTTTTTATTACTTTAAAGGAGTAACATGTCAAAAATAAAAGAAGCTATGCAGCTAATCATAAGTGGTTTTGGATTATGACATAGTTTTGAACATATGAAATAGGTAATTTTAATGTGAATTTTCTCTAACTTTTCAGTTTCTCATCACAGTTTCTTGACTATTTGAAAATTTGGGCTGTTGATAGCATGGTAATATACATTTCTCTTTTGACTTTTTTTTTTTTTTGTTGAATCAGATGTATGTGATGCTTCAGCAATCAGGACCTCTACCTATAATTCTGGTGTCATAAATCTTTTAATTTGTGTGAAGGGCTTAGAGTTTACATTTTTTGTTTCCTTCTTAGCTCTTAAATTTTTTGAATAAAAATAATACTGAGGAGCATCTTACATGTAGACTGATATTTTTTCCATTGCACATCAGGTATTGTTTCTGTTCTGAAACTAGAAAACATAGGACAGTTTCCTAAATAATTTATTTTGATGTATTCCAAAATATTCACAGTGTAAATACAGGTACTAGAAAAGTAATTAAGTATGAAATGGAGCCTGAGAATGTAGTTCAGTTGGTAGAGGGTTTTCCTAGAATGCACAAAGCCCGGGATTCAGTCCCTAATGCTGCATGATAAAACAGGTTGCTGGTGAATACCCGTTCCTAGCCCTTGGGACTTGGAGGCATTAGAAGTTCAAGGCCGTCGGCTGTCTGATGCTTCCTTAAAAATAATGTTGTCATTAACCAATGAAAGTTTAGAATTCTGCAATGAAAGCATTTAGATTTTTTCCTAGTTTAGTAAACATATTTAAAGAGGACGGTATTTTCATCTTTGAACGTGATTATAAAGATTTGTAGTTTATATGCCTTATGTGTTTTATTCCTTACAAAAGAAATAATTATTTTAAGTTAATTCTGCATTTTAAAGGCAAATAACCTCGTTTTATGAACTTCTTCCCTTCTAGGCTGAATGCATAGTTTATTTTCAGATTGGCTATTTTTGATGTAATTAGCATTTTAAAACTTTTACTTGTTTCTGAATTTTTGTTTCCTTTGTGGTACTGAAGATTGAATTCAGCCTTGTACATGGTAGAACACTGTCGCTAACATCCTAGCCTTATTATCCGTTTTGAAAAATTGCATTTATGTATTTGTGTGAACATGGCATGGAGGTCAGGGGCAGCCTTTAGGAATTTTTTTTTCTTTCATGTGGATTGTCCGGATTAGCATCAAAGCAGTCATGGTGGCATATTTTTGACTTTTTGAAATAGGATCGTACTGTGTAGTACAGGGTACCCTGATTTTTAAGGCTGCTTTAGCCTCAAAAGTGGTAGGATTATAGTTACCAACCATTATATCTGACACCCTAAATTTAAGGGTATTATGAATCTTTTGTGATGGGTGACCTGATTTTTTTTAAAAGGGGTTTCTGATTTTAGGAATTTACATTATCTTACAATGCTCCCTAGGTCTGTGCTTTAGGAACCATTTTTACCTTTAGTTTATTTAAATTATATTTAGTTTATTGTTTGTAAATTCAGACTTGAAGGTCAGGAGGAGTAGGCTAAGCTGTAGGAACTAAACTCCGTTTTCAGGTGTGTTGGCAACTGCCTTTACCTACTGTCATATGTCACAGGCCTCATTTTAATAATTTGAAATTATATCCCTAAACAAGAATCAGGCGTTTTAGATTTTTTTTCAAGATTTAAAAATTTTTATGGGAATGAGTGTTCTACTTGCTTGTATGTATTCACATCATGTGTATGCCTAGTGCACTTGGAAGCCAGGAGAGGTGGTTAGATTCTCAGGAATTGGAGTTAAAGATGCTTGTGAGCCACCATTTGGGTGCAGGAGCCAAGCTCTTATCTTCGGCAACAGCAACATATGCTAACTTAACTACTGAGTCATCTCTGCAGCCTCAAGAGTTAAATGGTTATTACATACTAATTAGTAATCATAGTCCTTTTAATTCAGATTATCAAGGTGGTTTAAAAATACATACTGTGTTTGTTTTTTCTTTTTTGAGATAGCTTCCTTAGTTCTGAGTTGTGGGATTACAGGTGTAATCATGCCTACCTTTATGGTTTATTTTAAAGCAGTTTTTCTTAAGAAATGCTAATGCCTATGTTTATCTGGGACTGTTCAGGCTGGACAAAGACCACCAGGAGAAACCTTTGTATTTCAAAACGTTTTCTTATAGTTAAGTGTTTTTTGATTATAATCTTGGGTTTAAACGCTTAAGGGATTTAAGAAACAACTGAAGTTGTTCTTGACTTTTACTGCCAAAGGTTCAGCATTATATTCTTATTTATATTCTCTAAAGTTTATTTTTAAATCACAAAGTATATTTTAAAATACATAAGATGGCTGGTCAGTGGTGGCACACGTCTTTAATTCCAGCACTTGGGAGGCAGAGGCAGGTACATCTCTATAAGTTCAAGGCCAACCTGGTCTATAGTGAGTTCCAGGACAGCCAGGGCCACACAGAGTCCCTGCTTCAAAACAAAACAAACTATATATAATATATAACATACACAATACATACATACACACACACACACACACACACACACTCTCACATACCACATTATATATGTGTGTATGTTATATATTATATATAACATACATACACACACACACACACACACACATATATATAAAGATGGGGTGGAAGTTGAGGAGAATCAGACTGCTAGTCTACTTAAACTGAACTGGACTCCCACCCCAGTATAGAAGGGTGGTAAAATACTATTCTATACTTTCTCAGCTTTGGCAAAGGAAACCTATTATAGATTTCATTAGTGTTAATTTCATTGTGATGGCAACATGAGATCAAAGACCTTTTTGTGCTTCAGAACCTAAACATTTCTTGGGCTGGTGGGGTACCTCAAGCATCATCACATTATCAAACTACTATGACGGATTTCTCTTAGAAACTTTTTTCCAAGATTTCTTACAATTTCTACTCTTTTAAACTATCCTATTGTTTATTATGACACTAGTTTGAGTCAAGGATCTCATGTGCAGGGGAAGCCCTCTAACTGACTGGTATCCCTAAGTCAGTTTTGTTTTCTTTTGTGGTTTAATATTTGACTGTTAAAGTTGGGTGGTGATGTTACATGCCTTTCATCCCAGTACTTGGGAGGCAGAGGCAGGCAGATCTCTCTATAAATGTAATGTGATCTTCTGAGCAGTCAAATCTGTTTTTTGTCTGTTTTTCTGAGACAGGGCCTTGAACTCAGAGATTGGCTTACCTTTGCCTCCGAAATCCTGGGATTAAAGGCGTGCACCACCTTGCCCATCCATGAACAGTCAAATCTTTTTTCTCTCTTTGTAGCTCTGGCTGGCCTGGAACTCACAGAGTTCCACCTGCCCCTGCCTCCCAAGTGCTGGGATGAAAGGCGTGTAACATCATTGCCTGTAGCACATTTAAATCTTAAACTTTAGGGCTTCCTTCCTTCCTAAAAATCTTAGATTGCTACAGTTTAATATGCAGCTTTTTAAAATTTTTTTGTTTGTAGGACCTACAAACCTGTTCGTTTGACCTGTCTTGAGTCATTTGTCCTTTTTTTCTCCTGTGTGAGTTCCTGTGTTTAAATTTGGGTGTCAGGTTTGTCAGCTAGCACTTTTACAGGGTGAACCAGCTCACTGTCTCATTTTGGTGGAGACATGATCTCATGTATATAATTTTTAAATCTCATGCTCTTCATGGTTCAATCTCCTGGTTTGGTGTTGTTTTTTATTTTTATTTATTTTTTGTTGTTGTTTCAAATTTAGGGCCTCCCATATGTTAAGTGCTAATAAATGACAATTTCTTTTTTTAGTTTTTAGAGACAAGGTTTCTCTGTAGCTTTTGCTGTCTTAGAACTCACTCTGTAGACCAGGCTGTCCTTGAAGTCAGAGATCCCCCAGCCTCAGCCTCCTGAGCACTGAAATTTGGTGTGAGCTGCCACAACCTGTCATAACTCTATCTTATTTTATGGTTATTGTAATTCTATAAAGCCAAGAAATAAACTCATCCTTGTTTTTCAGAAAGTTCTTGAAATGTCAGTTATTTTCCATGTTAGGTTTTGAGGCATTTAAGTCAGAAATTAGTGAAAAATCCTGAGAAACTTACTGCATATATAAGAATTAGTGTTAGTTTTGGAGAGATGGCTCTGCATTTAAGAGCCTGTACAATTGGAGGCAACCTCATGTGCTTCTCAGCACTCAGACTGCTTGTAATTCCAGCTCCCGAGTATCCAATACCCTCATCTGTACTTTAACAGACACACAAATAGATATAAATAGTAAAAATCTTTTTTAGAAAAGATATATTATGTATACATGTTCTGTCTTCATGTACACCTGCATGCCAGAAAAGGGCACCAGATCTTCTTATAGATGGTTGTGAGCCACTATGTGGTTACTGGGAATTGAACTCAAGACCTCTTGGAAGAGCAGTCAGTGCTCTTAACTTCTGAGCCATCTCTCCAGCCCCCATAAAAATAAATCTGAAATTATTAGTGTTAGTCAAATAGATGAGTGCAATTCAATCAAATAGATTAAGTGATCCCAAGGGTAATATTTTATTTAGAACTATTGATTATGTATGGGATTATATTATGTTGATTCTAGGATATGATAAATAATATGAATATTGTAAAAGGGAAAAAAAATGACCTTCCAGATGCCTAACAAAAGTTTTTTTTTTTTTGAAGGCTTAAAAGTTTATTAGATGAGAGGCGAGAAGATGAATTAATTTTGTGTTTTTTTTCCCTATTTTCAACCTAGGTTATCCAATGAAATTAATGTAGAAGCTCAGTAATTACTCGTTTGGAGTTCTTGAGGAATAAGATCTAGACTTGTAATTTTAGTAACTTGCTCTAGAAATTAGCTCCTACACTGGCAAATCTTAAGATCTTGTCATGATTTTCTTGTCTTTTGCTTGGACTAATTTGTTCATAAACTCTTTCTTGGTCTGTTGGATCCTTAGAAGGTATTGAGGTTGTGATTATGTCATAGGATTTAATAAAATCTTTACTGTTTTTTTTTTTTTTTTTTTTTTGCAGAAATGTGAATTTCAGATTGTTTGAAGGGCCTGTGCTTCAGACATTGTTGAAGCATTTAGTAAATTTTTTACTTTTTTTTTTTTTTTTTTTTTTTGGCAGAAATGTGAATCTCAGATGGATTGAAGGGCCTGTGCCACAGACATTGTTGAAGCATTTAGTAAGTCTTAATATACTTGTTGGATTTGATTTTTAATTCTAAGTATGACTAGGAATTTTAAGTTACTGATTTGGAATTGTAAGTACATGGCTTTATCAAAGCTGTAAGCAAAGTAAGATTATCTACATAATGGTTAGATGCGAAGTTTATTTAAGACAAGGCTTCATTCACCATTTATCCAAGAAGGGCTTGGAATTCATTTAGATCAGGTAGCTTTGAGCGCAAAAGAGATTTACTTGTCTCTGCCTCTTGAGAGCTTGGATTAAAAACTGGTAGGACCATGTCTAGTCTAGACACATGAAGTTTGTTAATCACATATTGCCTTTCTCCCTTTATCTCAAGATTAAAACAAAACTTAATCTACTCACCCACCCTTCCGTCTTTTTGAGACAGGCTATGGCTCTGGCCAGCCTGGAACTCAAGAGATCTGCCTTTTTCTGCTTCTTGAGTACTGGGATTAAAGGCATTTGCCACTACAGTGGGGTTAGAAATTAAAACTTTATGAGCAAGAAACCCATTTGGACTTGTTTCCAATGTCTTGTAGTTGGAAAGATTCCCTCCCCCCGCCTCACCAGCATACCTGAACTGGTCATTAGATACTGTGGTGTTTTCTTAATACAGTCTTAGTGTTGAGAATACTTGTACTGAAATATAGATACATAGCCTAGAATGTTCACTGTCTGGTCTTAAAAGAAAACAGACTATGGTCCTAGGATCTATTCTTGCTACTTTAATGATGTAGAACTCAGAAGCCCTTTGGTTCTCTCTTGATAATAAGTAATTTTAATTGATTTCCAGTTGTGATTGGTTCTGATGAAGTAACTCTGAACTTAAAAACTTCAAGACTGAAAATTTAGCCGTATTGACATAGAAATTTCAATTTGATGCAAGATGTGTTATTACCATTACTATGAAGTAGTTTTTTAAAATTACAAACCTGACAAGTGTTGGTAAAGAGTAAAATGGGAAGGTTTTTATAAACAATTTTGGGTCAGTTGCCAGAAGGATTTATTCATTGGTAAAAAACATTTAAGATATTTATCCACTAGCTGTTTCATAGGAATTAAAAACATTTGAGAATCTAGGTTCTAGGTGATTTTTTTTTTTCCCTTTTCTTTTTTTCTATTATTGCTACTTGAGAATGCGGTGGCTCTTCCAGCCTATAAAATAAGGTTTGTGTTCTTGAAGGAGAATAAGTAGACCCAAAATTTGCCTAATGCAGTAGGTACTAGTTTCCTGTGTGATTACACTTCACAGATTAGTTGCCTGCCACATTGTAACTACTCAGTAAACATTTGTTGCTTTATTGTGTTAGTGTAGCTTTTAGTCCACATTATCAGCTGGTGTTTTGAGTCTAATGAAAGGCAAAATGAAATTCATTGTTAAAATGTTATTAATGTAAACATTGTAGGTGTGTTTGAAAGCTAAATTTTTGACACAGTAAAAATGAATATATCTGTACATATATCTGTATTTGTATATATATGTACACGCATAAACTCATGCAAGCACGCATGTGTGTACACGTGCGTACACGTGCGTACACGTGTGTACACGTGCGCGCACAATCTTCCCTCATACTTGGTCTGTTTAACTTGGTTTGTTAATTAAATTAGATTGTAAGGACATGGAAAAGATGGCTTGCTTTATCATTAATTGATCTCATTCTGTCATTGATGAAGATTGGTTAGTCATTTTGAAATAATTTTACTGTTTCTATACCTATCTTATATAAGATCCAGACTTGTTAATATATTCTCTTGAGGATTCAATCTATTTTTAAAACAAGACCAAATAGGCGTTTAGTTGTCAGGCTTTCTTACGTAAATATGTTAAAATTTAAAACACAAAGCAAACAAGTCATAGTTGCTAAATTTATTAATTACATGATAGGAAGGATGAGTTTTTCTACTAAATTAACATGTTTTTAAAGATTTATTATGTATACAATGTTCTGCCTGCATGTTCACCTGCACGCCAGAAGAGGGCACCAGATCTCATTATAGATGGTTGTGAGCCACCATGTGGTTGCTGGGAATTGAACTCAGGACCTCTAGAAGAACAGTCAGTGCTCTTAACCACTGAGCCATCTCTCCAGCCCAATGTCTGTTTTCTTTAGTTGTGAAGCAAGCATTTAACTTTTGAATATATTAATAATAGCCTTACAGCCATTTATTTAAAAAAAGTAAGAATCATTACTTTTTAAAACTGTTTGCTCCCTATATTTTTCTTTGCTATTAAAATTGATATTAAAAAAGATAAGATGGGCATGGTGGCACATACCTGGGATCCTAGCCCTTAGGAAGGCAGGAGTCAGATGTTCAAGGTCATCATCCTTGGTCTCTGTCTGAGGCTACACTGGGGAGACTGTTACCTAAAAATAGTAAGGCTAGTTGAAATAGAGGAACTGCTTTATTTTAGGAGATCCCTAACTTAAACTTCAGATGAGTTAGTGGCTTGCACTTTAGTTATTTGATGATATCCATAATCAATTTGCTGTTCTTAATTTATGAATGTATCTAGAATTGGATTTCATGAGATAAATGTTACTATCTTGGTGACATCAAAACTTAGATTTTCACAGGGAGTTGTTCTTAGAATAGACATATAGGTAGGAGAAGCACTAATTAGTAGATAACAAATTGAAAACATTCTAACCTTCCTAAGTTTGAATCTTTCTTGGGAAACAAAGGCTCAAAGGCATACCTGTTCATTCTGTCTGTAATTTACGAGTTACCGTAGAAAGAGGTATAGTTGGTTATCAATGTCTACACACTCATTGAATTTTCCTCCCAATACAATACTAAAGGCAGAACTGTTCTTAAATAATTAACCAATGCATGATCTGTGTTATTGTAGATTTTTTTGCCACTGGAATAGACAGTGTTTTGTTGGGAGCCTTATATGCATTGATTACTGTGATGTAGTGGAATGGTGGCCAGCTTTTAACTGAGATCACTTCTGTTATGGACTACCTCATTGACTCTTCAGTAGTGCCACAAGACATAGTCATTGTTTCACATTGCTGTTTTGCACATGAGTTGTGGATTTTGTTAAACATTTTTATGTTCCAACACCCATGTCTGATTCCTTTTTTTGTTTGTTTTCAAGCAAAGCTTTTGCTTACTTGTAAATTTAGTTTTTGTTAGTATTTGAAACTTTGTGAGCGCAGATGGATTACTTCTAAACCCTTCATAGCCCTTTGATTATCTTTTATACTTTATGAAATATATTTACTTTGTTAACAAAGTTCTTGCCTTTGGCTTTGGATCATGGAGTTTGCATCAGTCCATATTGATCACTGATTTATAATGTAAAAGTTGTTTTCTCTTATAGAAGTTTTAAATTTACTTTGAAAATTCTTTGAAATACATCACATGGATGACCTGACAGCTGTGGGAGTGCAGTGTTTGAGTAGTTTTCTGGCATTTTTTTTTTTTTTTTTTTTTTAATTTTTGAGATTGTATCCCACTTCAGTTTCAAACTTACAGCAGCCTCTTGCCTCAGCACTCTCCGGAGTCCTGGGATTTCATATGCAAGCCACCATATCTGGCCTTGTTCTTTTCATTTATTTGTTTTTGAGGTTAGTGTCAAGTGGCTTATTTTAGCCAAGGATGACCTTGAATTTTTGGTCCTTTACCTCCAAAAATCTGAGATTACAGGCATATGCTACCACCATGCCCATTTTTTTATGTGGTTTTGTGGATCAAACTCAGGGATTTTTGTGCATGCTATGGATGCACTCTTCCACCTGAGATATTCTATGCTTTTTCTATTTTTTTTCCCCTGTAAAAATAGTTTTAGAAGTAGTATACTTACCCCATGGCAGAAAGCACTGAGTATTAAAGTACACACTGAATAACTTGTACCTGTAGTGGCTGAACTGACTGTAATACATTAGTACTGTCACTGTTTGTCAGAGATTATTCACTGGTTCCTTTACAGTCTGACCATGCATTTTAACCCAAGAGAGAGAGGAGAATCTGGTTCGTAATGACCAGAGATCCATCATTTCTAAATTTAAAAAATTCCTTTCTTTGTGTATGGTACCTGAGTGTGTGTGCATTACTTGCAAGTTTGGTCCTGGAGGAGGCCAGAAGAGGCCTTTTATCTCCCAAGACTGGAATAGAGACAGCTACTGTGTGGGTGCTGGGAATACAAGTGGGCCCTGGAAGGGCAACAAGTGGCTCTTATACATTGAGCCCCTCTAGCTCCTACAGTTCCCTCCCTCCCTCCCTCCCTCCCTCCCTCCCTCCCTCCCTCCATCCCTCCCTCCCTTCCTCCCTTCTTTCCTTCTTTCCATTTTCTTTTAGAGATAGGCTCTCACTGTGTAGCATTGGGTGACCTTGAACTTCCTAAGTAGATCAGGTTGGCCTTAGACTCACATCCTCCTGCCCTGCTGGCTCCCCAGAACTAGAATTAAAGGCAGGTGTCAACAAACCCAGCCGTTACTTAATTTTAAGAAAAGAACAAGGTAAATGGTATTTCACTAATGTTTGAATAGAAGGAATTATTTTTCATTTTAAGGAAGGGTTTGAGAAATTTTCAAAATTTACTATAAAAGGTCTTGATTTGATGATTTACTGATGCTGTGATATTCTTTTAAAGAATCATTTCTTAATAGGGGGTGCCATTGTCTTGATTATTTAGTTTATTGGGTATGTGTTTGTAATGTGTGTATTAGAGAACATACCTTAATTTTAGTTAGGGAGATAGGATATTAGCCTAGAATCAAACGTATATTCTCTTTCTCTCTCTTTTTTTTAAATTCCCCCAGTCAGTTACAGGCTGTATCTCTACAAATTGAGTTGGAAACTCAGAAGGCCACGGGTTAGGATGGTTTTGTAGGCTCAGGAGATGGCTTAGCTTTTAAACATTTGCTTGGGAATTTGTATTTACCAAAAATCTAAGTGTATGTCCAGCCACCAGATAACCTGTAATTCCAGGTAGAGATGGATCCTCAGGCTATCGAGAAGCCAAGCTGAGCTCTGGGTTTGACTGAGAGATCCTTTTCAACAAATAAGGTTAAGATAATTTCTGTTCTTAACATCACTATCAACCTCAGACCTACATATGCTCTTACATTCAAGTACATGTGTCCTCCTCCCCCCAAGAAAAATGCACATGCACACATGGATGCAACATGAAAACTGAAAATGTTTTTTCAAGTTTTTTTGTGAATATGATGAATCTAGAGATCATTAGGAGTAAAGTCACCTGGATTCTCATTTCTCCCTCAGTCTAAACTGTTTAAATAATAGATTAATTTTTAGTAGTTTATAATTTGAAATGTGATAGCATTTTTGTGGCAAATTACAAGTAAGCCAAGCAGATGTTTCTAATTTTTTCTTGTGGCTTCACATTCTCAGGTAACTAAAAAGGCGCTTCTGTTTATATAGGTCATGTATGTTACCTAAACAAAAATTAACATCTGTAAGACTGTAAAAGTATGCTGTGCAATGATCCATTGCTTTTTTAATCCCTTAAGATTCTTTCTATAATTAGTTTTCTTTGAAGGAGCTTGGGAACTTTTTTTTTTTGCATTGAAATTGTAGAGTCCACCGTGTTTCTGTAATTTAGCCTCCTACCGTTTTTGAATTTTAATCTTTGGTTTTACTTTTCATATATGCACCATGCTACTCATGTTAGATTTAGGACTTTCATCCTTGACTTACTATTTTTAATGGATATAAATGTATCTGTGACAGGAGAACTTAAAAAAATGTGAATACATTGATTCTGTCTTTGAGAAGTTTGTCACAGTAGTGCTGTTTCATAGTTAAAAGATTTACAGAATTAAAGACTTGTGTGTGGTAGAATATCTTCAAGGTGGGTAAAATTTTCTGTTTGAAGAAATAAGACGATTGTTACTCCAACAGAATTTTTTTCTTCTAATGTTTTTTATGAAGCACCCAGTCATCTTGAAGAGTTTGAAATGGACCTTACCACTGAGAAATCAAGATGGCAGCCCACTATGGGGAATTGAGGAAAATGGATTAATGGAAGAGAATGCTGTGATCTTACACAACCAACACAGGGTTGTTTTAATATGGATTCCAGGAAATGAATGACTCTTAACCAACACAAATGGACACTGGGATTTACCTTTTAAAGACTTGTTACTATTTTGACAACTGGAGGATGCTACATTTCTACAAATGGTAGTTTGTATTCTTGCAATTTCTTGCAATTTGATCTGAGTGACCTTATGGAATGTTAACTTCAATAAAATTTCTAAAACTTAAAAATTTCTCAGTTTGGGCCTTTTTTAAATTTTTAAGTGAAAGCTTCTATTAAATGTTCATTTCACCTTAATAACATTTTGACCTTTATAGTCACTTTTCATTAAAGTGTACTGAATAAAGCTGGTAAATTGGGATGCTTTTGTTTGGTTGGGATTTATTTATGTTTATTTGAAAAGCCAGGTCAGTGTACCAGTGCTTAGTGGAATGGTCCTTTGGTTAAAATGCAATTTTTCTTTTTCTTTCTGGTTTTTTAAGCCAAGGCTTCTCTGTGTAACAGGCCTGGCCATCCTGAAACGTGGCTTTGTAGACCAGTCTGGCCTCCAGATCCACCTGCCTTTACCTCCTAGGTACACTATCACATCCTGCCTGGTTGGTGTTTTATTATAGGGTTTAAGTGGATTTCTTTAAAAATTTTTTTTGCTCTTTTTAAAATATCATGCATTTTAATCAGTGGGTAATAGGAACCTTGAATTTTACGAGATTATAATGAATTTGCAAAACAAAGTACTTGTTGCTTACACAGTCTGAGACAGATTATCCTTCAGTTTGTGTTGATGAAAGTGGTCCCTCTGACCTGTATTTTTAAAGTATAAGTAAAATATCTCTTGGAATGAAATGTTCATTTGAATATTTGAGTTATTGATTTGTATTGTCTAACATTAGAAGTGTATTTTTAGGGGTTTTGGGTATCCACAAAAGGGCTTCATCTTTGACAGTGTAATTTACGTTTGAAAACTTTACGGTTGGGAGTTTAAATGAATCATGCCATGCTTTAGATTACCCATGGTTGAAAAATGTTAGGTTTTCATTTATTGCTACTTAACTAATAACAGTTTTGGTAACTAATATTATAAAGGAGTAATGCGGATTTTGTTTTATTGACCAAATGACCCTTGATTATGTTTTCTCAATACAGAGAACAAAGAATAAAATAATCCATTATTAATGTAAAATAAAAATACACATCTATGGTAACCATATGCACAGGGTTCTTTGAGTGATGTGAGGTAGTTGTTTTGGTCTGTGTAAATTAAAAACAGTTTTGGATTTTGGTTTGGATGCGAAAATATGTGTATATTTGAAACGATTATAGGTTTTATATTTTCCTAGATACGTTAACATAATTGTTTTTGGTTGTAAAACAAATGGATTATTGCAATGATGGAGTGACATGGTTTTGACCAATATTAGGGTTCAGTAAAGGAAAGTTTTGAGTTTTTTGGACATTTGTATGAGGTTGGCTACTTGTCTGCATGGAAGAAAACCCTTTGTTGAATTAGTAAGTTTGTTTCTGTAGACCTTGTATTCCACCTTGAAGGAGTTTGTCTTTGACAGTTTGGTAATTGGCTGTTTGGTGTGGCCCTATTGTAAGTGACCTGTCATTGATGAAATGTGGGCATACCTAGAATTGACCTGAAATATGAGTGAAGGGTTCAGATATACTGGTTCTTTTGGTTTTGGAATTGAAGTTGAGTTTTTTATTTAAAGGTGATCAGTGTTGGTGTATATTCTTGAGTTTGAAGTTCATTTTGTCCAAGTTAGTATAAGAAGTAAATATGTTATGAATGAGGATTTTTTTTTGATGTGTTGTACTTCCAAGGTTATATAATGGGTTAAAGAATTTTGTTGATTCTGGGACAAAAATATTTGTACAAAATTTTGCTCTACTGCAATTGAACACTAGGGAGGCGCTCTTGAGTTGTAAAAAATTACCCTTTCCTTCCAGTTGGGGTGGAAAATTCCCCCTTAAACTTAATCTTTATATGTTTTTAGGCACCATAAAGACTGCAAGAGTTGAGCATAATTTATGGTATTGAGATGTTGCTTCTATTTACAAGCCATTTTACCCATGGGGGTGTAAATTTTTTTAAAGATTAGTACTTAAGATGAGCTTTAGATTATCTAAAAATTATCCTTATTTCAAAATGGCTTGATAAAATAACACTTCCTGTCCAGGGAGGAAGTTATTTTAGCTCAAGCACTGAAATATTTAGCAGATCTTTAGACAAAAGGAACAAATTACATTTCTCTCTGGCTTAAAAAGGGTGCTTGAGCCAGAGGGGGTTAAGAAGCCCTTCCCCCTCCCCCTGATGGAGTGGTCTGGAGGGGCAGGGAGGTGTGGGGTTGGGGGTCTTCAGGCTCCCTTAGATGGAGGATCTGGTTCTTTTTCTTTCTTTTTTCTTTTCTTTTTTTTTTTGGTGGAGATGAAGGGGTGGGTCTATGGTACATCACCTGAGTTGTGGGGTAAATGTAGAGAGTGTCAATCAAAGGCAGAGCTCTCAGAGCTGGGAAGGAGGCTCTAGATGGCGGCTGTGCCTTAGAGAGAGCGCGCTTTGCTCCCTGCTTCGGTTCACTTTACGCAACTTTCCCTAACTTTCGGGCAGCCTCAGGGGGCCCCCGCAGCCCCCTGCCTCTCCTAGTGACTTTCTGGGGTCGATCCGAACCTTTTTTTGGGAGAAAAGCAGCTTTTAGGAGCTTTCTTTTCGTGCCTTGTTGGAAGAAGCTGCCGTATTGAGAGCCCAGGTCGTTGTTTTTTCCAGCTTAGAAGCCATGGCGCACCTCCATTTTTGTGCGCTCTCCTAATGAGGTTTTTTTTCCCCATTCCGGACCTGTTTTAGTATTAATTACTGCTTTATTTTTTGACAAGTCAACATATTTGAAGATTATTTCATTTGCTTTTTGTTTTTTAACGGAGGACTTTGCGTTATTTTTAATTATTTTGGATCTGATATTTTTCTACTACTAGATAGGACTCTTGCTTTGGACATACTACATGGATCAGGTAAGTCCACGATAATTAGTAATAATTTTAAAGATTTTTATGTTTAAGTTGCCTTTATTTACTGTAAATATGAGAAATTCCTGGATGACGCAATAAGATACAGAGATTGTTATTTGTATCCAGTGTGTTACTTTGAGAAACTTTCCTTATTGGTAGTGATGCTTCTACCGTTCAGTTTATTCCCCACTTATTTTAAAACGGAAAAATAGAAATTTTGTTTTTTTTTTGGTGCTTACCGTTGTTGAATTACACGAATATCGCTAACATCGTCAGGACTTTGTTCCTGATAATAAAAACCATCCATAGAAGCTGGGACCTTACCTTTCTTTCAACTTTTGACAGTAAATACCTGGGCACAGGACTTCAAAGCAAACACAGATTCCCCCTCCCCCTTAATATTTAAGAATTAAAAGATGATGAGAAATAAGGACAAAAGCCAAGAGGAGGACAGTTCGCTACACAGCAATGCATCGAGGTATGAGCTATCAACTTACTTTCTGGTTTTTTTTTTTTTTTTTTTTTTTTTTTGGGAAACCTCAGCTTACACTTGTTTACTTTGACAGACATGGATTTGCTGTCTGTGTTATAAGAATTTTCTAACTTGGGTTGATTTTTTTTTTTAAAGCGTGACCTTGAGATTGCTAACATGCCACACCCTGATTTTTTGGTAGCAATTTATGAAAGTTGAGTTGTGACTTAAGGCCTCTTACAGCATTCAGAGGTAAGGTACTTTTATACGGAGGGGCCTTTCCTAGAAACTGTAGTTTTTCTGTCAGTAAATTTTTAGTTTTTAGGTTTTCGTGCTGCAGAAAAATGACCTTGTCTGTTTAGCCATTGCTGCATTGCACCATTTTACATACAAGGCAAATTTTTTTCTTTGAAGAATCTGGGATATTGAAACTTGTAACTGAGGGCCTAGTAGTAGTAAATTATAGTAAATAGACATTTGAGAAAGTTATATGAATGAAAAAATGTACATTTAAAAATGGAAATACAAATAGGACCCTTTGCCTTTCAGTTTTATGTTTTTGATTGTTTCTTTTGATACACTTGACAATTTCAAAAAATTTGTGGCTTATCAAAATCTTACAGTTCCTGATATCATTAAATCTGTAAGTGAAAAAATCCTGGAATGTTATCAATACTTTAGCTTTGTTTTGTTTCTATTGCGTGTAATTGTAGATTTTATGCTTAAAAATGTTACAAGGTTTCTATTTGTATATTTATATTAAGACTGCTTTCTGGTTGGTAATTGTATTTTATCTTTACATTTTAGTTGATGCTGCTTAAAATTTATCCATTTATTTTGACAGAGTCGTCTGGGATGCTTTTTCTTCTGAAGCTTTTTAATGTACCGTTTGTTCAAATCATGATTTGTCTTACATTCCTTGAAGTAGCTTATCAGTGACTAAAGTAATAAAGTCTGTAAGATTTTTGTTGTATGACTATTTTAATTTAAAAATATGAATGCATTTCTTGATACTCATAAGAATTGTCATGTCATAATTTTTAAATCATGCAGATAACAAGGATATGATTGGTTATGTGATCTTTTCCCATTTTTTATTTTACTTTATAATTTTGCATAAAATTCCTTTTCTAAATTAGCTTGTAAATAAATTTGGAAGTCTTCAATATAGTTTATTACAAATGATGAGTTTTGCTTTCTACTAAAAATATTTTGAGCCTTATTAAAATACATTTCCAAGTTCCTAGGCAAATTGAGTTGAACATTTTGGATATCTTTTGAATTGCCTGTGTAATTATTGAGTTATATATAGGACAAAAAAAACTTCTAATGCAAAACTAGTTTTCTGGAAAGTGACAATTTGAAGTTATAGGAAGCTCCAGATATATTTGACAATTATGAAATACCCAATATTAAAATTGTTACTCCCTTGAGTGAATGATTTGCATATTCTCACCAGGGTTTTGGCTTTCTTATTCAAGGTTTTTTGTTTCATTGATCAGACAATGCTATCAACTCAAAGTCCTGCTGCCTTTGAATAAACTTACTTTTATCTGGGAAATGACTTGGGCATTGTCATGCATTTGATTCTTTTAGTCAAAACAAGAGGCATGTTTTTAATGCTTTTGCCAAGTACATTTTAAATCATATACTTGGTGAATGTCCAAGATAGTCTTACACTCCTTGAAGATGGAGTTACTTTTAAATTACTGTCAACTTTTAAGTTATATACATTATTAATGCATGTACATA